ACACGGGAATAGGTATGGGACGAATTGAGTGGACACTCGTTGCTCGAGCGAAACAGAGGAATCATGCTCCTCGTTCAAGCGACTAACTTACGAATCGTGAAAAAGTGATCTCAACGCCACGTTCTCCTTATAATGTAACAAGTAAAAATTATAACTCTAGTAGTATATACATGCATGAAAAAGACATTAACTAATTTTGAATTATAAACAACTGAAATCTGATCAAGTTTACAGCAGCTTTAAATTTATTGTTCATAATTTATTAAAAAATTAATGTAACGTTTCGATATGTCAAGTATCATCATCAGACAAAGATTACTAAAGTACTTTTATTTTCTTAAGAAAATAAAGAGAAGTTAAAGTTTTATTCTCTTGTACAGTGTGTGTGTAGTTGTACTTTAATAATCTTTGTCTGATGATGATACTTGACGTATCGAAATGTTACATTAATTTTTAATAAATTATGAACAATAAATCTAAAGCTGCTGTGAACTTGATCAGATTTTACTTCAAAATTGTGCCCACAGGAAAAGTCAATTATAAACAACTGAGTCATTTTGAATAATTTAACTAAATGAAACTTACGCCCATCACAATACCAACTATATTCAAAACTATCTATCTAGTAACATGCATGCACTGTTGTGGAAAAAAATAATCTTGAGATAGTGACTGAAAGGAGGAAGGTAACTGATTGTTGTATCGAAGAAGTATCATCAGATCAATCGCTTTTCAAATGTCGAACAATCGACCCCTGTAAAGTCGTATAGGAAATTTTTTGGTCGAACCCAGATGTATCACTGGTAAGTTATCTTTATTATCGATAGTTTTTTCGTAGAGATTATTAATCAACAGAGAATTGATATTAATTAGTAGGTTGAATAATTATGTATTTTTCTGCGAAAAAAGAAGGAAAGCAAGTATTGGCTACTTCATGATTGAGATCACTTTTTTTGTATCTGTACAGTAGCCAATCATTCCTAATAAAAAAGTGATTCGAAATTATAAACAGTGTACAAAGTATGTGAAAAAAACAAACGCTCTATTCCAAATTGAGATCACATTTTATTTGTATAAGAAACGAGAAAATATATGCATTCCAAATTGAGACCACTTTTTAAATCTAATTAAAAATCATCGAAAAAAAGTGGTCTCAATCATGAAGCCTCGCAAGTATTCTATACATGATTCTCATATATGTGAATTTCACGAATTTCCACTCGTGTATTTCTGCTATGATAATGTTATTAAAATAAACCTGCCCTTTTGACATTTATTGAAACAAATCTGTAATTATATCATCTAAGTTGAAATATGTAGCAGAATAGTCCAATTTAGCGTTGACTCATTCAGAGAGCAAAACTAAAAACGCTAAGGCAACATTTATGTATTATTAATACCTCAGATAAAGTCTTCAATATATCTGGGTGACTGAGTCATTCTATTGCCTAGATTAACACAAAAAGTAAAGTTTTTGCACAGAAGAAGGTCACTTAAAGAAAATATGTCCGTTTAACCAGTGATTTGGTGGAAAGATATGTAATTCTTGTACAATATTGTCGTCAGATGTGTAATTTTCACGTCGATCACTACATAAATATTTGTGCCACATATGTTTAGATTGAATACATAAGATGGTTTTCGATTTCATTTAAATGGCTGTACACTTGTTTCTCCCATTTGAAATCGATAACGAACACTTATGAGGGAACCTATTCAGGTGCCCAACTCCGTTCTGAACGATTTATATCTCGATCGATAGAGGATAGGCAGCTAGTAAAAACCCCAAAGGGATTCGGGCTTATGTTGCTTCTTTCAAAAGTTAGGGAGGTTTTTGTCGTTTTTGCTAAGAAAGTCCGAAAAATTTAAAATTTTATAATTCTCGTAAAAAAAGCACCGAAGAACTCAATTCTTTTTTCAAGGTTCTACTAGTTGTCTCTGATATTCACATAATGTTTCAGTATTCCAACTTGCTTCATTCGCGACTTATTGAATTCTTGAGTTTTCCACAGGATCGCTCTTAGATACACTCACATGAATGAACTGTACAAACGTTATTTACCAAAGCGATTGAAATTTTAGAACAAGGATGGTTTCGAAGTCTTATTCTTATTAAGAAAAGAAAAGTTTGACTCTTACCTGACCGTGAATTATGAGACTTATTGAATTCTCGAGTTTTCCAGAGGTTCGCTCTTGGATCGGCTCACAATGAAAGAGCTACAAAAACATTAATTCTTTACCAAAATGATTAAAATTTTTAGAACAAAGGTGGTTGTGACTGGCGAACACGCTACTAGAATTCAATTACACAACATTGATATTCTGCAAGTTCGCTTTTTCAGGAGGTCTCTGGAGATTCCGTAATTCACAGTCAGGTCAGAGTCAAACTTTTCTATTCTTAATAAGAATAAGGCTTCCTTATTCTAAAATTATAAAAAACCATCCTTATTCTAAAATTTTAATCACCTTGGTAAATAAATAACATTTGTACAGCTCAATTTTCTCTTTTCTCTTTTACACTGCTTTATTCGCAGGTTGTCTTTTAACTCTTACGTACGGAGGAGTTTCATACTTGAAGGATCTATGCTTACCAGATTCACTACTGCAGCGCCAGGTGTGACAGATTGTTAGATCAAAGTGGGCAAACAAATACGCACATAACAACATTTATGTTAAAGTCACATGTTAGAGGTAATTAGTATGATAATAAAAGAAGACGCGAGAAGAACAGAACACCGTTCATCAATGCTTCATATAATATATTTTAGAAATGAATACCAGTAGAATGTTTAATTTGATCTTTTGCACATTACTCTAGTTGGTAGCAGTGAGAAGTTATAAATTTTAAAAGAATTTTTTTCAAAGATTTTGACCGTTTACCGAAAACATCTCGAAAAATACGTTGCTTACAAAAAAATATTCAGAGTGTCGAGTTGAGTTTTACTACAGCAGATGTTAATCAGCAAATCTTTTTCCCGACACTTTATAATCAAAATAGCGAAAAAAACGTGTTTTCAATGCTCTAACCAGCTGAAACCCCAAAGTGATTATGGAAAAACCCAATTATACTTTTTTTGTTCCAAAAGTCGACCGAGTGTAAACGAAGACCCATCTAAGATCGTTAAACTTTTTTAAGTGAACAAAAATGTAGAGCAGACTTCGCTCTATCTAACGGTTAAAATATAATTTTCTTATCTCTTTTATTTTAAGAGATAATAATCTCGTAAGAGACGCTATTTACAGTGTCCGAATACTTCTTACAGACATTGTATATGCTAATACTTATTGTTCTGTAAGTTCTGCTATTCGGGGAGGAAAATATAGAATTTACACGTAGAATCTATATATGATTTACAACCTTTTAGTTTCATTGCAAATGAAATACATAATATACAATTATTTATAAAAATTTACATCATCTATACAATGAGGCCATGGGTTTAACCCCTATACTCTCGCTTTTCTGCTGATTATTGTTCTTTTGTTTTACCACTCCTCTGCATTCAATTGAATCATCCATCGGACCAGACTGAAAACTAAATTCAGAATCTCTTCTTAATGTAGTTCCAAACAATTTCAAGTTTGTATTTCTCATACGTCGAATCAATAGCCATATGTTACTACCACGTTGACGATGGCGAATCTTTACTACCGTTAATATTAGTAGTAAAAGAGCTACACAACCTAATGGTACAGCGTATTCGATGATTTTAATAATATGTGTTTGTTGACCGTCTATATCTGATGATTTAATAGTCGTTAATATTGGATGCGAAGCGTTACTTGACGCGAAAGTTGATGTATAATGTAGTACTTGGGGTGTAATAATAGTTAAATTGATGCCATTTTCCGTTATTATATCCTGATCAAGTGTTGTTGCTGATGGAACATGGCCCTCAGTTGTGCTACTCATTGATCTGGAATAATTGAAACTGGAATTTTTACATTCTGATCTCAATGAGAATTTGTTGATAGTATGACATCTTTATATTGCTCTTGCATGCATCACTCACTGTTAGGAGAGCCAAATGAGGAAAGAAGATGAGAGCTAATAGAACCTTGCATGGATGAGAAACATGATCACTTTATAATCACCTATAGTATAAGCAGTAGTTCAACGAACAAAGTTCGTGTAATGAACGAGTGTAATGAATGAGTATATTCTCTAAAAAAAATCTGTAGCTTACAAAACGGATGTCGGTTTGTCATTTGCTCCTAATAGAAACCGATGTTCATATTCTACAGTTCTATTTATCTCATAGAATACCTATGAACGTTTTTCTCGTGATGCAGAAGCGGATTTAGGTTTTGTATGACTAGAAAAACGTTCATAGGCATCAAACGGATTAACAGAACTGTATGATACGAATATTGGTTTTTACAGGAGCAAATAACAAAACCGATATCCGTTTTGTAAGCTACGGATTTTTTTCCTAGAGAGCACTCTAACACAAGGTGTTTTTCCAAAAACAAAAGGGGTTTGTACCCCCTTCATTTAAACCCGTCATTTCTTCAAAACCGTTGCACAAGAACAATGGAGTTTAGGAGAGCTACAAAACTCTTTCTTTGAAATCAAAAAGTCTCTCCTATATTCGAAAACCTTTTTTTTAAAGTGTCACTGTAACTGCAATATCGAACAGAAAGGAAGTTTGCGTTGTTTTTGCTTACCTTGACTTTATGAATAATTCTATACTGTAAAGTTGAGAAAGATAATGGTCATTCCCCTGTGTTATCATGAATTGTAGATATGTGTAAACAGGTTTCTTTTTAAATTAATTTGAAAGGTACATTTATGATTCTCTTGTCACTTGCTACTCAATTTACTGGCGTTTTGTTTATCTTTTGATATTGTAGAATTATTATTTACCTTGGTATTGCGAGCATTTCGCTATTGTTTGTTGATACTTATAAAAGTGTTTCTTTTGGAAAGAGCAAGAAGTGCAAGCCCACTTTTTCATCGTTTTCTTTTGAGGACTTCAAACGAGCATGCAAACATCAAACTTTCCTAGTTGCGCTTCGAAACTACATAAGACCTTAATGGTAGTACTTTCTTCACCCGTGGAGTTTATTATATAAGTAAGATGGCAAACATCTTCCATATCAAGATGTTTACTTTTCCACATCTATTGACATTTCTCATATCATACTCTTGTTGACAACAGTATTAGAAATTGATTTCTATTCCAATAAAAACCATTGCACTAATATATTTGATTTTCTCCTTTTTACCAAATATTTAATTTGATTTAAAATTCCTATTTAGTCCATCAAAATTGACGTATTCATCTTTTTTTTTTCATTTCGTTTCTTACTGTATTCACATGGAAAATTTAAAATGTAAAAGAAACAATTTTTTTCTTCACTCTCCATGTTATCCTTTTATTTTTTATTTTTCACATTCTGTAAAGTTTTTGTTTTTTCATCGTGTATATGCTCTTTTTTTTCGATTTTGTCGCGTATTAATATATATTCTCT